GTACTACCCATTCCTGCAAAACCCCAGTACAAACGGTTGTGTAAGGTGCCCTAGAAGGGCCTCAGTCACATGTGTATGCACCTTCTTTCCTATATCCCATATGGATATGAACATTCATGGGCTAGAGCACAGAAAATATTTAGCACCTGTGGGATCTGTAATCCCTGCATACTGGATTAGCACTTACCATTTCAGTAGGAGGCTTGTTGGACCAAGCATGAGCAGTAGAGATTAACCAGCCTGCTCATGTCTGCCAGCCCCACGGGACCAAACCCATTAATGTCACTCTTGTCCTGGAGGCGGTTATGTGGCTGCCAACGAGGACACTGGCAAGTGTTAATTTCAAAGCAGGTAATTAGAGCTAATGCGTCTTGGGAGCTAAGCACAGCTTTACACAAAGAGGAGGAATTTCTGGGCAAGTGATAAACGAATCTGCTTTTCTATGCTGCCAGTCCACTCATGCCCACGCTATGGTATAAACAGAAAAAGTGGGAAGTCTGCTCCATCATTTCTCTTTTTTTCCTCCTCATCCCTTTATTCTTTAGACTAAGAAATACACATAGGTAAAGACAGCACAAATCTTACCAAGAGGAGAAATCTGTGCTTGAGGTGCTTGTTGGGTTGAATACAGCCGTACTGGGGGCCCTCGTTATAGACACTTCCCGTGGGGTCAAAGAAAGGCACATGGCCATCCTTGCCGGTACACAGGTAGACTTTCTCCAGCCGTAGCTTGTAAGCACCATTTAGGTTTTGTTCGGGGTGCCAGAGCACCCGGCCATACAGGATTTGACCTGAGGAGGTTGAGAGAAGAAGGGTCAGCTGAAATTCTCTGAAGGGTATCAGGGAGGAGACGAGATAAATCAGCAGAACTATCCCCAGAGCCAAACACATCAAGGGGAAATGTATCTGTCTTTTGATGGGTTTTCATTTGTGCATACAGATGACAGAATATTGTGCCAAAAGCACATTCCTGTCTTGTCCACTGCTCATGCTAATACAGACCCACAACAGCCTTAAAATGGTACAGGGTGATGCAAAAGGGGCAAAACCAAATTGGGCTTTTGCCATTCTCTGTCTGTCACGGAAGCCAAGTGATGAAGACAGAAGCATTAGATACAACCAACAAAGGAAAGAAACAAATCCTACCTTTGGAAAAAGCCCCCTTGTAATCCATTTCTGCCAGGGACATTTCAGCTTTGGTGGGATCCATCAGAAACACCTTCTCATTGTTACAGAGCTGAAACTCCGTGTTTAGGGAGTAGACAACCGGGACTGGGCGGTTTGTCTGCTGGAAGGCAATCGGGATCAAAAATCTAAAATGGGGACAAGAGGAGAAAAAGGAGAAATTGCGTCGGGGCTGCTCTAGAGTCACCCGCGGGGGACCCATCCACTCCCTTGCCCTTTCCTCCCTCCTGCTCTATTCCTGCAGAGCAGCAGCCCACACCACAGCCCTGGGCTACAGGGCAGCCAAGCCCTCACCCTGTCCCCCTTCCCCAGGCAGGGCGCAGGGTCCTGCGCAGCTGCTCAAAGCGAGCGGGTGACAACGGGCCTGTTTGCCTTGGTGGCTGTGGACTCTCTTTTACTGCCTTCACGAGGAACGGCCTCGCTCACACAGGGAGGCCTGGGCCAAAGGGCAGCCCAAGCCGGCGCAAACCGTCGTGCCGCGGGGCCACGTGCAACCTCACCGTTCAGGAGCGTGAGCTGTGCAGGCCGGGCGCTTGTCCCCGCGCTCCGTCCACGACTGCGTGGGCTGGACGGTGCAGGGGATTAGGAAGATCGTGTACTCTCCAGAGTAGTCCTTCCTGCAAAGAGGCGGGAGGCGCTGCGCTCACCAAGCCCACTCCGAGCTGTTAGCCCAGCTCCCGCACTCGCCCAAACCCCGCCGTGTGCTGAGCAGCGCGAGCAAGGGAGACCAAGGTCAGAGCAGGACCTAACCCCCCACCACAGTCCTCCATTTGCCCTAGCAGGCGCAGGAGGGTTCGATTTGGCCTACGGGGATTAACCCGGCCTTCTGCTGGTGCAGGGGCATACATGGAAAAAGAACTGAAGTAACAAAAAGCTTGTGTTTCTTTAGGGTGAACCAAATCTCTCTAGTTTTTTAACATATCTACTTCCATTGAGCAGAGAGCTAAAGACTAAGTTGCAAACAGGAAATCCTGCTTTAACCTGCAGACTGCAAAACAACCATGGACATGGGGTCACCCCTGGAATCTACCTATAAAAATGCATTTTACAGGACGGACAGATTTTTTTCCACTTCTGCAATGGACTAAGGCAAAGGCTAAATTAAATTGCTGAAGAGCAGGGGGAACAAGGACTGAATGCCACCAGGTGCATTTTAGCAGATCCACATGCACATGTGTGCACAGTGTGATGGCAATTACACCAGCAGCCCCGGCTACGCTGGTGAGCAGAGGAACGGGCTGTCAGCACAAACGGGTCCTGTGGTGCTGCTGCCCCAAGCATTCCCCGCTCCCCAAGATGTGGGGCTGCAGGAAGCCCCTGCAGGCACCTGAACCCGCCCTGCTCACCTGTTATAGGAGCTGGTGGCTCTCCAGAGCTGGTAGGGCGAGTCGAACGTCTGGGCGCTCCACAGCAGCTGCAGGTCAAACTCGATGCCTCCCAGGTGCTCTGGTGGCTTTAGAAAAGACTTCACATCTGGCAGGCTGTGGTGCTCCATTACAAAAAGCCCTGCGGGGAAGACAGGGCATCTCTCAGGGATTTGCCCTGGCACCTCTGTGCTGCTCCAATCGCCTATTTAAAGCAGGAGTTGTGGCACATGCATGGGAGCGGGGAGCTGGCCTGCTCCTGGCCAGGTTATGAGACCAGGATGAATTCGCTTGATAGACAAGTGACTTGTTAGGCTAAGGCTTTGAATCTAGTGGGTAATGGGAATTACTAAACCCAAAGCAGCCAGGGCTCCTGAGAGGCCAAGATAAGCATCTGGCCAAGTTGTTAGATTAGGCATAAGCACATTAGGAGGCTTGGTATTAACATGAAATTTGCATATACTCGCTTATCTGAATGTAAGAAAGTTCGTCTTAATTGCACAACCGGAGCAATTAGCCACGGAGTGAATCTATGCATTGGGTTTACAGTGCTAGCAAGCCAACGGATAAAGAGATTTGAACATTGGGTATCCTGGCATATCAGACTCACCTCTCATTCTGATCTTCAAAATACCTGGGAAGGTCACAGTGGGCAACACTGTCTGTTTGATACTTTTATAGAAGAGGACTGATTGGAGACTAACATTATGTGACCAAAAGAACCAAAATGCATTCCAGGCACAAAGCCAGCATTGCCAGCTATAAATCTAGGTGCTCCTTCTCTCCAGTAGGACTAATGCTCTTACCTCTAAACTTGGCCTGTGTCTTGAACTCGATCACCAGGCGGCCGTCCTCACGGATATAGATCCTGATGATCTGCAGCCGGGCGGAGAGCACGCTGTCCGTCTGGATGCCTGCACGTGCAGCAAGAACAGGGGAGAGCGGGCCCTAAAATGAGCTCTGTGTGCCAGTCCCAGCAGAGGAGAGGAGCCACACAGGGCTCCCCACGGCGAGCGCCACAGTTTTAACAGACACAGGTTACTATAGGAAGGAGGTCTCCCAATGAGGGTCGGGAGGCCGAGGGATGTGACTGCAACTCCCACAAGGAAATCACTGGGAAGTGATGGAGATGAAACTCCAAACGTGCCATAGTGAGTAGAGCAGCCTCCACCTGGCCATGGTACATTAGGGGACACCACAGGCCTTTTCCTGCAGCACTTTCTAGCACTTAGTGACCACTTGGATTAACAGGGAGAGCCTGTGACAGCTCCCTTGCTAAGCATTCGCAATTGCTGCCTTGTCTGAACTCAGCCTGCAGGCTACAAACTTAGCTGCAGTCCTGAGCATGGGTCGTGCTCAAAGAACTAAGAAAAAATAAGAATAAAACGACTTCCTCAGCCCCCCTCAAATGCCTCACACCTACCTGTTCTCCAGAGAACGGTATCATAGAAGAAGGAGAACTCCATCTCGGTGTGATGCTCCAGAGACGCCCAGCCTCGCGGTGCCGTCACATAAATGTAGGATACGTAGAGCGGGACGTGCACTGTTAGGAAGGACTGAGCAGAGTCCCGGACCTGTGGGCACAGCCCCAGCGGGTGGTTATGCACTGGCTAGCGGCCAGGCACTGGCTCGCACCCACAGCGCCCACCGAGCGCCGCTTCTGCTCCGTGAAGTCTCCTTGCTCCTCACCTGCCTGCACTCCACGCTGGTTGGGTCCAGGGGGCCGCCCAGGGTGGGCACACAGTTAAATCGGCCCTCCTGGTTAAGGTGCAAACCTTCCCAAAGAGGAAAGAAATCTAGAGCTGCACCTCAGGATCAGCTAGAAAGCGCCCACATCATTCTAGACCCACGAATGCATGGGTGTGAATACATGCAATGGGCATCAATGAAGACAGTCTCTCTGTGGCTCATTAAAAAAAAAAAAAAAAAAAGCTATCCCTGGACTCCTATTTGAAAAACAATCATGAAAAACTGTTGGGAAAAAATGGGTTTGCAAATACAGAGTGCCCCTCACAGGCTACAAAATTCCTACAGAAGTCAGAGATGCCTGTGTGAACTTTCTTGACCTTTTTATGCAGGCACTTTGGACACTCATACGGTTTAAATAAGTACGAGTGTATCTCTCTCCTAATGTTAAAGTATGTTGTTGTCATTAAAATCCAGTACAAATGGAGATGTGGTCACAGTTTTACCTCTGAAACAAACAAGAAAACCCTTCTGATTCTAATTAAAACTATACCAACCAGACAAACACACAACCAACCAACCAAGAATCTGGCTTTCTCAGAACTGCCTCTAACAGCATCTGCAACGGCAGACTCTCATGCTTGAATATGCACCATTTCTAGCCTGCAGAAGGCAGCTGTGCTCTGCCAGCCCTTCGCAGAGCCCGGAGAGATGCACTCCAAACTGGCTGGTTCCAGCCTCCACAAGCCGAATTACGCAGACATTCGGTTCAAGTAACTACTTTGCATCTGTGCAAACAATTGGAGCTATAAAAGGAAAGGTAAAATAGTGTTCCATACTGGCACAGACTAAGAGAGAACATGCTGTGCGTAGCATTGTGCCTGGGAATTCACTGTACGCGTCTAATATAGGGGAGACACTCCTTGAGTGAGATGCACATGTATAATCTGTCCATAAGAGGGCAGTGGGACATCCCAAAACAGGGAACCACACAGAGCAGCTTTGCCCGAGAATGGACAAAGACCTGGATTAGGTGGAAGAGCTTTGGACACATTATCTCACCTGGAAGTCAGCAGTGACAGAGCCTCCGCAGATATCAATTAACTCGGTCATGTCATAGTAAGCATCAAAAGTCCAAATGCAGCTCTTGAGGTTGAGGTGTTTGTAGAGCTGGATTGTCTTTGGCTCTCTCACCGTGGGGTCAAACTGGTAAGGCCGGTCATATCCAGGACCAAGAATGATACTATCCTGAGTAACTTCATCCAAGAACCCTGCCTCTGGGATGAAGAGATATCAGGGAATTTAATTAGTCCAGATTTTTAAACAGCCTGAAGCTGTTTTCACTCTCAAATCACATCAATGCCTTTTACTGAACTAGGGCTTAACGGCTCCTCCTCATTATCCCAGAGGCCAGAATGAGCAAGTACCAGACTGTATGAGTAAAATGGTACAGGAATGGGGCAGCCTAGGCATTAAAGGTTAAACTTAAAAAAAAAAACACAGAACAACTTGGGTCTAAAATGAACAGTGTGAGGTACAACAGTCCCTGCCTACTGTGAGGAAATTCTGCTTACTGCTTAGTTAGTAGAAGGGGATGAGTTGTTTTTTTTTTTTTTTTTTACGTAATATCAAAAATGCCCAGAGGAAGACGGAACCCTTGTCATTTCTTCACTGGCTTCTCTCAGCCCCTAGATTCAGAAAGCAATAGCTGACTTTAAAGATCACCTGAGATGCCTTTAAGGTCCCTGATGGTGACCAGGTTCGAGCAGACATGCTGGTGCCTGTAGATAGACTCGGAGAGCAGGAAATGCAGATTGTGCAGCGGTAGGGTGGAGATGAGGGGCAGCATCCCATCCTGATGAGGAATCTGCACTGAGATGTGGATCCTGGAACAAAGTGTGTTTTCAACATTTGAGGTGGTCCTGCCCCTCTACTCAGCCCTGGTGAGGCCGCATCTGGAGTATTGTGTCCAGTTCTGGGCTCCACAGTACAAGAGGGATGTGGAGCTTCTGGAGAGAGTCCAGTGCAGGGCCACAAGGATGATCAGGGGCCTGGAACATCTGCCCTATGAGGAGAGGCTGAGGGAGCTGGGCCTGTTCAGCCTGGAGAAGAGAAGGCTGAGAGGGGACCTGAGCAGTGTCTAGAAGTACCTCAAGGGAGGCAGTGAGGAGGATGGTGCTGGTCTCTTTTCAGTGGTGGCCACCGACAGAACTAGAGGTAATGGCCACAAACTGAAGCACCAAAAGTTCCACAGGAACTTAAGGAAAAAATTGTTAACAGTGAGGGTGACAGAGCACTGGAACAGGCTGCCCAGAGAGGTTGTGGCGTCTCCGTCTCTGGAGATCTTCCAAACCCGCTTGGACGCAGTACTGTGCCACGTGCTCTAGGTGACCCTGCGTGTGCAGGGGGGTTGGATTAGATGACCTCTGGAGGTCCCTTCCAATCTTAAGCATTCTATGATTCTATGATAACAGGGCAGAAAAAGCAGCCCTGGCCAGCACAAGACCTTCATACCCTACCACATGCCACAGGTAAGCAGGGCAGGGGCAGGGGAAGGAGGGTAGTGGCAGTCTGGTATTGAGTCACAGCTGGATTTCCTTGCCTATGCATCTGCTCCTCAAGCCATTTCTCCAACTGCCTGGTTGTTTCCTGCAGGGATGAGCAACCCTGGCGTGGAACGGGGCGAGAGGAAGCGAGTGCTGCCCTGAATACCCCGCGCTGCTCCCGAGGGCGCGCTGTGCGGAGGCATGTGGTTTCGGACACGCACTCTCCTCGCGACCTGGGCCAGCTCGGCAACCCCAAGCGGCTCCAAGGAGGATCGCGCATGCGCTCTGCTCCCAGCTCACACCTGTTGGGATGTTCCTTGTGTTTGACGTCCAGGTACTTCAGCGTGGCAATGAATGACTGTGCCTGGAAACCTCGGGCCGTGCCCGCTACCACCGGAGTGTGACAGATGGCACTGTCTGTCCCTATGGTAACTATGTTGCTTCTCAGGGGGGTCCCCACGTGGCCAGCCTTGTCCACAGCCTTGGCCACACAGCGCACATGGAACCGCCGGCTGAAATAAATGCTGTCCAGCACCTGCAGGCAATGAGGAGAGACGAACACGGATGGGGTCACCAGCACCTTCTCAGCGACAGCCAGCCATCTCCCACACAGCTGCCTGAGTTACCACAAGCCCTCGTGCTCTTCTAGCCTCGGCATGCAAGTCTGTAATCACTTACCATATGGTTGACACTAGTGAACGGTGTGTTGTCGGTGATGGTTTCAAAGGGTGACCTGGCCCCGTTGCTATCCGTAGGGGTTGCTACTTCCCAGCTGAACTGTACTGATGACTGATTGATCCCAGCCTCAGTGCAGCGTTCCTTCATGACCTCGTACTTGGGGAAGTGAGGGTCGCAAGGAGTGACGCAGATGAGCGGATAGCCTGGGGAAGGCGATTTCTTAGCACCCTCTTTGGTCGCTCCTTCCACATTGTCATAGTCAGCCAGGGTGACGACCTGCAAGGATGTGGGACAACAGCATTCACTGGGGGTCGGGGAAAGAGCTGCAAAGGCAACGTTTCCTCCCACACACTCCAGCCTGCCACAATACTGCACCTCTTAATCCTACTTCAGAAACCCCATTGGGGTTTTCAGTCTGTACTCAAAGGACAAAATCGCACTCACGGGCAACAGGCAACTTACCACAGGAGGTGCCGGAAGAATCAGGCTCCCCGTTGCTTCCTGATCCAAAATAGTCACTATTGCGGTGCTGATATCTCCAAGAACAGCATCCACTGGGTCATCTGGGCCCAGCACCAGCGAGAAAGACTCATGCCATTCCCGGTCATCATTGGACATGATCTCCACCTTAAAGATGATGTGGTTCATACCTGTGAGTGTACGTAAGAGAAACAGAAAGAAGCCAATTCATCACAGTGATGAACCAGACACTGCGCTAAAGCTCCCACCGAATACTGAGCAGCTTGGCTAGGTCGTGACCACAGAAAAATTATGATAAAGTATGCACTACACTTTTTACTTCCACTAATAACTCACCCCCACTTCCTCACAGGAATCTACTCTATACCTAAAACTCCAGCTATGACAATTAATTCCATTGATCAGGTAATAGATTTACTAGCAGGTGCCATCACAGGATTAACAACACCTGACTTATATTAGCTGTCTGTAATAAAAATCTACAGTCCAAAGTATATCCTGCCATAAGCATCTCTGCTCTGACTCTCATGCCAGTATGCAGAGCTGCTTGGTGAGGGCTTCTTAGTCTCAGCAACCTGGTCTGAGCAGCCTTATAGGATCCTGAAAAAACCTCTGATGAGCATTACATTCCCTGCGGACCGCTGTACCATCACCTGGCAGACACTAGTGCTTCTTCTCCTGTTCTTATCATCCTTCTTGTAATAGCTCAGCTCTTTCATATCACAAAACTATAGCTGCAGCAAAGTGCAGGGCTGCAGCCCAGGGGAGTTGCACTTACTTTAAAGGTGACCATATGGTAGGTAGCCTTATGTAGTATATTTAATACCAAGATTCCCCCCGCCAAAATACTCTGAACGAAAAAAAAAAGAAGGCCCTTCTCATCCAGCACAGGCGTTGTAAAGGGATGAAGTGTGATAAGAGAAAACACGGCAAGATTTGGGGTGGCCTTCCGGCCTTTTCAAGGGACATGAACCTCTGCGAGCAGCCTCAATCATCTTTCTTTTTCCTTAGACAATGACAGCCTGCTCAGCCACTCTGCAAGGAGCAGTCAAACCTATGTTGATGCTGTAAGCCTCACACAAAAGGTGGCCTTGTCTAAGTCTCCTGCATATTTCTCTTCGTTGTTCCTTTCCCACAAGGCAAGAACATCACTGGTCACATCACCACCTCGAACTTCCCCTCTAGGGATCCCTTTACCTGGGCTGAACTTGAGCACTTGACTCCTGGGGTAATAATCCACTCCAGCCTGAGCTGAGCCATCACGGGTGCTGCAGCGGACTTTGGAGGTCCTGTTCTGATCCCCTCTCCGGACCACCTTGATATTTAAAACAGCAACACCCTCTGGGCCGGGTGGTTCCCGCACTTGGTATGAAGTTTCTTCAAACTCAATGGTGGGTGCTAAAGAAACAGCAGTGAAGAAAAAGCCCCAGGTTGGCACCACAGCTGATTGCTTATAGATAGAAGTACATCGCCCTTCAGAACCTACCATTCCCTCTCCTCCCCACAGCTCTCTCCAGGCTGTGACGCTGCATAGGGAACACAACAGCTCCCAGAGGAAGCAGAGCAGCTCCCCGTGTGACTGCACTGCTAGGGACACAGGACAAACGGGTGCGTGCAAGCCCTGTTTATTCAATGCCTTCTGCAACACCAGTACACAAAGTGCCCCCGCTGATGACCACATGATGGTCCTGCTCATAAACCAGGGGATCTCCAGCACACAGATAAGTATTTCTGTGAGAATGAATCCAATCTCTTCATGCAACTGAAGGCATTTCTTTTGTACTGAATGAAACTGTTGATAGGACTGTGCTGCTATTTGGAACTACATCCCACACTACAGCTCCTACACCTGTTTTGCGCTTCCTCACTTACCATCTTCATCATTGGTGACAGTTACAGTTGCCATATCCATCTTTCCAATTCTAGCTCCACTCCAATGGTTTCCAAGTGGGCTACCAAGATGGACCTGGAACTGCTCCTCTGGTTCAAAGGCAGAGTCATCGCTAATGTAAACCGTGCAGTTTTTCACCTAACAAGGAAGAGAAAGCAGGAAATGTTCATAAGTCCCCTGAACCCACTAAAAGATCAGGCTGCTTCCTCACCATCTGAGTACTGCCAACCCTGGAAGATGCACTCTTCTATTTTCAAAGCTGTTTCTCCAGACTGAAAAAACAGCACACTTACATGATGAGACACAGCAACGAAGACATCTACCTCCACAAATCAACAGCTCCCTGCTACAACACTCCTTAGTCCTACTCACATAGAGGTTTTTTTTTTTTATTTTAGTGTTTTAACCAGTCTCATCACAAACACAGACTCCCTCTGGAGCCCCGCCATATATCCAGAGCCAGAGGATTTGTGACTTAAACCATGTGTGAAACAAGCTCTGCAGAATGCCTCTGACACCAGAGAGGCAAGCAGGAGATCTCCCATCCACAGCTCTTCGTTCTCCCTATCAGATTGGTTTGACTCACCTTCTCTCCCTTCAGAAAAGTGATGCGGGACTCCTCCGCATCTCTCCTCTCTGCAAAGTCCTCCATGACCTCTGCAGTCTGGCTCTGGGTGTAGCACCTGACGGAAGACTCGTAGCTCAGGTCCCCAATACGGAAGATGGGGATGTGCAGGGCACCCTCCTTCTCCTTCACTGTGTACACATCCTTGCTGAACTGCATGCTGGGCACTGCAGGAGGCAATAAGAGTCAAGCAGCCATGAGCTCCCACAAAAGAGACAAGCTAACGGAGGCAGGTAAACTCTTAGAGAATGGTTGCATGGAGTTTGACAGCTGGAGAATGAAATGACATCTTCGCTGTGCCTTGGGAAAGGACTTAGTTTTAAACAAACCAGGGACTTTTATTGTCATTAGCCCTCCAGAGATGACAGGACTCTCAGATCCTGCTGTCCCTCAGAAAAGACATGGTATTTCTCTCAATCACCTACTCCAAGGCTGCTGAAACTCATTTCTTCCCTAACATTTCAGCGCTGCTCCAGTGTCCTGGAAAATAAGCCAGGCCTAGAAGCATAGGGGTGGCAAGTTTGTGAGGCGTGTCAGGAAGGGATTATATGAGGACTCAGTACTGAAACAGGTGCTTGGTCCCAAAGCATTATGCTGCCGTCTGTGGACAGACATAAAATAAATGGTTTGCAGCAAGGAAGGCACACTGCAACAGCAGATGGAAAGGCAGAAGTGATTACAGCCTATTGCAGAGTTAGATTATGCAGGTGGCCTGCTCCTCAAGAGAGAGCATGAGAGAAGATAAAACACAAAGGAATGGAAACCTACTCCAAAACATTCTCACACAGTAGGGGAGAATCCAGCCCACAGACAGCATGAGTGAGGACTGAGCTCTAAGCAGAGGAGACACAGCTTGCCTAACAGCAAGGGGATCCTGCTGGATAATTCATTGTGCAAAGACTCCATGCTCTTGCGGACAGCGATGCACGGAAAGATCAGGGTAGCCAAATGGAACAAGAGGATTCCCCAAACCATAGGCCAAATCAAACCTAGGAGTAACTTTACTTGGACAAGTCTTCTGTGGAAATGTTGAAGGTGAGGCTAGGATGGAGCACAGAGAGGTGCCATAGATAGCTTACCATCTTGGAAGATGTCATTAATGGCCACTATTGCTTGGAAAGGCTCTGTCAGCTCAGCTCCATGGGGTGAGCTGAGATACACAACGAATGTCTCCAGCCCTTCTATCACCGGGTCCTGAGCATCATCCAGGATTGTCAGAGTGCAGGACTGAAAGGAAAGCAAAAATCCCATGTTTAGAAATGCAATCACTTATCCTTCCGCGATCCCTGGCACTCACTCACATTTGGATATCCCATTCAGGCCTTTTCTGCGTTCATTAACCAATACTGCTCTTTTGGAAACAGCGTTCCAGATCATCAGGCATATCACTCAGAGAACAGGCAGCCACCTTTACCCTGGGAGAGATGTTCTCAGTGGATCTGGCTGGAGCACTGAGCTGATGTGGATCTCTGCCCAACAGATTCATTAACACTACTCACGTAACACCCTAGTGCCTCTACCTCCTCTAAGGTTGTTACAGGCAGCAGTGTCCGGTACACAGTAACCATGCCTTAACCCTCAGCGTCACTTTATGCACCCTCTCCTCAGATAGCATTCCCCATGCTCATCTCTCATGTTTAGGAATGCAAAAAGACCATTAAATGCACAGGTGGTGTGAGATAGCTAAACACAGAGCAGAAGTCAAGAACTCACTGCTATGCCATCCTTTAAAAATCCACTGTCCAAACATCTTGATGCCAGAAGAATGTCCTTCAAGATCCGCTGTCAACCATCTAACCTGTGCTGAGTTGTGTCATCAGTCTGTGCCATCAAACTGAGCAGACCCATCACCGACTGAAGGTACTCCTCACCTCCTGCGTCCTGCCTGGTCTGAACTCGATTTTTCTGGAGCTGGGGACATAGTCGATTCCAGGGCTGGCAGACGGAGGGTCTGACGTCCGAGTGGCACACCACACAGAGACAGGGAGGGACAGATCAGGTCCCTGCCGGAGGACTGGAATTTCAATGTTTCCTGGATCACCAATTACACACAAAAGAACCAAGATCAGAAGACAGCCAGACACCACAAAACCACCTTCTCTCCCTTTGCTGGGCTCCTCTCCCTTTGTCACCGCCCCTGCACTGAGCACGGACCACCACAGAGAACAACCCCCAGCCCTCCCTCAGGGCAGAGGAAAGAGCATAAACCTGCCAGGAATCTTACGATCCGCTGCAGTGCACTAGACCGCTCTGATGTCTCGTGCTGCTGAAAACCCACATGCACAGTCACCCCCTCAACACAGCGCAGCAGCCCCTGTGGGTGACCTGCTGCTCTTCACCTGCGGCCTCACTGATGGTGAAAGAAGCATTTCCCAGGAACACAGTGGAGGCGTCGTTGGGACCAGCGATGAAGACGCTGGCTGAAGCCAGGCTTCCAATGCGGGCATTATTGGAAGCATCAGCCAGCACGATCTCAAATTCCTCCTCTTCTTCATATTCGCTGTCATCGATCAGCGTGATGTCGCATGTCGACACAGTGACACCTGGCCCAAAAACAACGCGGCTGTCGTCTGTCATCCCCCGGGACTTGAAGTCAGAGCCAGACTCCAGCATATAGAGGCTGCTTCCCTTGGCTGATTTGGAGACCGTGTAACATATGGCAGACACAGTGCTGCTGGTGTCCCCTAAAATGAAACAGAAAATCATGTAACTCTATGCAAATTCTTTTACTTCACTTCCTGGACAATATTAAGTTAACATTAATAAGTTAGACATTATTCATTTAAATAATAATAAAAAAGCTTTTTAATTATCCTACCCATGTGATCAAAGACCACAGGATACACTTGATCTTAACCACTTCTATTGCCTATAAAGTACAGAATTGAAAGTCAAGCTCTAGGCAGCCGCAAGCACTTCTCAGGACACTGGCAGTTCCCCTGCTTGTCACCTGTCACCTTCCTGTCGGCTACAGTCTCCAGGGCTTCCCACTCACCCTCTGCAGCTGGGGACAGGCTCTGCACATCATGCCCGCGGCATGCGGTGCTTCCCATGTTGTGGAGCCTCGTGGGAGCAGAGACGGTTGCTCTGTGAGCCTCGACCCACCTTTCCTTTCAATGGGAGCAGAGAGAAAGCCAGCGCTCTCGCTGACGTGGTACGTCCTCCTGTCGAACTGCAGCGCGGGCTCGTCCTCGGCGTCTGTGATGAAGACCGTGGCCCGGGTGATGTTGCCCAGCAGGGCGTAGGCCGGCATGCTGAGCTCCACAGCGAAGCTCTCCGTGCTCTCAAAGATGTCATCGTCGTTAATGAGAATGGTGCAGGCCTTGGTGTCCTCCCGCTCCTCAAACTGCACCTGGAAAGCAGAAAGCAGCAATGTCACTGGCAAGCTGCTCTTTCTGGATCTAAATTTTCTGTCCTTCCTGCCTCCCTTTCCCTCCATGTCTTGCGCGTGGAGCAGTGTCGAACAAAAACTCAAGCCCAGGATAAAGGATGACCGACAGTGGAAGGCAGCAGCTGCAGCGCCTGGGCCCCTGCCCCTCCACATCTCCATCATGTTTTAACCTTCTGCAGGATTCTGAGTGGCAATCCTACCTAGGCAAGCCCGCAACACTATCAAAACAAGCCTATCAAAACACTGTCCCAAAGGGAATCAGGCTGTATTAAATCCTGATTTAAAAAAAAAAATCAGAGATTCTTTTCAAAAGAAATAAAACATAGTCTTTTAGAAATTAAATATCTATTAAGGGTAGTCTAAGGACTCTAATGGAAGAAATGACTGGGGACAGAGAAAAGCCCTGGCAATTATTTGTGACACTTCCACTTCCCACTGCTTTCCCAGCGGGCTCTGCCCTCCCGTCCCCACTGTCACTCCAGCCGTGCAGGCACGTGCCAGGCAGCCCGTCCTCCTCCCCGGAGGGCCCGACCCACCTGCCCCGGGCCGTTCCGTGCTCGGTGCGGCACAGGACGATCGCGTACTGGTTGAGGTTCCCGATCCGCCGTATGGGGACGCTCACAGAGCCTGCGCTCTCACTGATGTTGTAGCTGAAAACGTATTAAACCCGGGCAAATGCCAGGCACTGCTTAATGGACCAGCTGATGGCACTGACATGTTAGAGGGAATGTGGGGGTTAGGACCTTCACTGTGGGGAGCAAACTCCATGTGTTAATACTGATCTCAAGCTGAATGATGCCTCTGCAGAAAGTCCAGGGGACACTGGGCCAAGACACAATGATAGTTTGACACTGATAACCAAGACACAAATGGTAGTCTCCAAACCAGGGACTTGGGCAGATGTCAGCTACTCAGCAACCCTGCTCCATGGTTTAACCCAGCAGACACTTCTCCTCACTCACACACACATGAATTCCCTCTTCCATAGTGGCTGCTAATGGCCCTTCCACACTCCTAGAAATCAACAGTGGGCCTGATGGGTGTGAAACAGCCATCAACGACGGTAACTGCCCAATAAACTTCACTGCATGCTGCAAGTCCATCACACATTACAGAGCTCAGCCTGCCTTGTTCTGAGTCACAGCCCACCTGCCTGAAGAACACTGTGAGCCCCAGGTCGCTTACCTGGTGTAGGCAAAGCTGATGAGAGACCACCGAACATGGAAGACATTGCCGCTGACCACATTGGGCTTGCTGTCCTTCACTAGGAACTGAAAGCTGTCCATGGTCTCCTGAACCTTGTCCTCGTGCATCACGTAGCGAATGAGGCCGTGGTTCACATCCTCTGCCGGGAGATGTTCAATAAGCCAACCCACCTTTATGCTGCTGGAGCTTTCCTAGCTACCACGGTCTTGTCTGTGACAGAAGCCAGCCTACAAACTGTGCCAGATTACTCCTTTGGCCATCTGTAATGGCTCATATTTAAAAATAAAGTAAATTTCTTCACTCTTGGGAGCAAACTGGTCAAATAGCTCTGCTCAAATATATGGAACCTGAATTTGACTAAGTAGCACATATTTCAGCTCTGGCCCATAAACTCTTATGTCCTAATAGGGCTCCGTTTCCCTGCTGAGATGTTGAGGGCTCTCATTTTCTGCAGTGTAAAGTAATTTACCTAAGCTCCAGACTCCAAGTAATAGGTCTCTTCCATTTTTCTTGGCTTCACTTACTGAGGCCAAGGGAAGCCAGGCTTGGCTAGCAAAGGCCTCATGAGACTGCTTTTGTACAGGACAAGACACAAGCTATCCCAATAAACTCGGGCAGCCAAAGGAAAAAAGTAACAAAATGCAGCCCAATTTCCATACCCTGAGTGAAGGTGGTCACAGCTGTCCCTGGTTTCAGCTTGTTGTCCAAATAACCATGTCTGGGGCCGCTTGTTATCTCATAGATCAGTTGCTTGTCATCTGTGTCAGGATCTGTTGTCAGTAATTCCTTCTTAGTGATTACATTGGTTGCCTGGATTAAAGCCAAACCGATGGAGTTAGGATATCCATCAGTGCAAGTCTGACTGCCTGCCCATCCGAAAGGCCCAACCATCCCTCTATCAAACTGTGTTCCATGAGGGAAAAGCTTGGGAGTTTAACAGTACTGGCCACAAAGAGCAGCCTTGAACAGAGAGACGCTGTAGATCTCTAGTCATGTCCCACATGATATCTCACAGCAAAGGAAGGATTAAAATTCTGCTTCAGTGTTTTATATAT